GGCCTTGACTGTCACCTCAATGCCGGGAAAGCGCTGCTGCAGCCGCTGCTGGTATGTCTCTGGCATCCCCACGGTGTCCACAAACACCTGCCGCAGTGACAGAAATGTATTCACTCAATGAACATCCAGAAAAACTGCAAACACAGCTTCACAGTCTCCGCCCTTGCTGTTCCTGCTGCCTAGAATATTCTTCTCAGCAAGTTTCAGGCTGCATGCTTCCACGGGGGTCTCAGCTCAAGCATCACTTCCCAAAGAGCCTTCTCTGGTCATGCTGCAGCCATTCTACATTTATTGAGCACCGACTGTGTACCATGGGCTGCTCCAGGTGCAAGGGACATGGCAGTAAACACACCAGACGAAAATTTCTCTCCTCCTAGAGGGGACACCTGGGGAGGGCCCACAGACAGGAAACACAGTACATAATAAAGAATACGGGAGAGTCAGAAAAAATACAATTTTAAACAGAAGTGGGAGAGGTTTCCGGAAGGTCACTCTCAGGTGGTGACATTTGAATAAAGGCCTAAAGGAGATAAAGGAAGGAGCAACGCAGAGATCTGCAAAAGAGTGTTCTAGGCAGAGGGAACAGCAAGTGCAAAGGCCCTGAGGTAGGACCATGTCAAGGATGCTGGACAGCAGTACAGAGGCCCAATGGCTGGAGCAGAGAGATGAGGTCAGGGAGGCGCCAGGAAGGGTGATCTCCGTAAGCACTTATTGTTCTCAGAAATCACCTTTATTTGCTTACCAGCTGACCATCATCTCCCCTGACTGGGCCATGACCCTGAGAACAGGGCCCTTGTCTGTCTGCTCCAGTACTGCATGGGCAGCTCCACATTCTAGTCCTGGACTTCAGCCACCTCCTCAGCAAGGCCTCCCTTGTTCCATTCCCCATCTCAAGCGTATTTGTCCTCGCTGTTCTCTCAGAACAGCCCATTCTTTGCTTCAGAGCCCTCGATGTAATGCCAACTTATATTTCTGGTAATTTAATCTCATTCTCCTCCACTTGCCTGTGAATTTTCCTGATTTAATTTCCACTGTGATCAGAAAATTAAATGTCGAGATTTACATTTCCAAAGGACGACTGTCTGCTGCTGCATAGGGAGCAGACCAGAAGGGAGGGGCGGGAGGGGGGGGGACCAGGGAGGAGGATGGGGCAGCCATCCAGGAGGGAGGGTGCCCTGGCCGAGAACACAGGCTGGGGGAAGGTGGACAGATGAGGGATATATTCTGGACGTTGAACCTTTAGGATATAGAGACAGATCAGATGGGGGTGGAGCTAGGGGGCTCTACCACGGTCCTCAGTGGGGCACACATTCAGGGTGGGAAAGCAGTAGGAAGGCAACAGCAGCGACAAAGGTTCCCCAGGTACTCCAGATATGTCTGGCGCTGAACCGCCTACTGCACTTTTATACCATTTTATCCCCAGCTGATCAAATGAGGGCAACCCAACAGCTCACCTGGGCGACTTTCACGCCCTGGTCCAAAGCATACTGCACCAGCCCAGCGGCCGTATCATGGGACAGAGAGTTCAGATTGTACTTGACCCTGCGGTGGGGACAGAGCCCAGTGAACCCCGTTCCAGCTACCCAGCCCTTCCAGCAGACGCTGGCTGCCCCTCCGCCCCGACCCCTCGCGGGACCCCTCACCGCCCAAGCATGCTGGTAGAGATGAGGTTTGGAGACAGCACGTCCAGTGCCCAGCCCACAAAGTCCCCATCCTCCTTCATTCTCGCAAAGAGCCTGTCCCGCTCGCTCTCCGACAGGGTCTTTGAGTCTGGGAAGAGGGTTGGGAGAGAAGGGGAGCTGCTGGTTCTCCCAGTTCCTGCTTCCCCTCGTCCCTGCACATGCCCAGGCATACGCTCCCCAGGCGTCCACCTCGGGCTCACCTGCCACTTTCAGGGCCTCCAGATCTGCCAGGCGGGACAGGGGGCAATAACAGATGGCATAGACCATGGGGCCTGGGAAAGCGGAGGTGCAACCAGTGAGCCCGTGAAAGCCGCCATCCCTGTTCCGTCATCACCGCTTTTTTCGGTGCCATCACCCATGGCACGGCCATTCCCAGTAGCACCCCCGTCCCCGGGTCCGGTGCAATCCCGGCTCCGGTTTGAGGGCAACTTGCATCCCCCTGAGCCCGCCCCTCCCCCACGCCGGCCCCGGGGGCGCACCCAGCACCGGGCCCCGGCCCGCCTCATCGACACCCAGGGCGCAGGGCTGTTTGCGGCACACCGCGGGCACAGGCGAGTTCAGGCGGCAGCGGCCCGTATTGTCCCTCTCCAGCTCGCTGAGATCCATGTCGCCTCGGCCGCAGAAACCAGGTCTGCAGGTGCTGGTCTCGGCGCGCGTTTTCCGCGGGCCCCGCAGCGGCGCTCGCTCCCGACCAATCGGCGCAGGACACGCCCCGCCGCAGACGTCGGCGCGCAGCAGACGCCGCTGCCGCGCAGCTCGCTGGAAATTGTAGTTCCCGAGGCGGACGGCCAAGCTCCGCTGTTGGGGAACCGGGTGGGCGGGGTCGCTTTCCGAGCTCCGCCGCAGGGCCTCTGCAGCCCCGCACGCTGGGGCTGGTGGGAGGAGAGGAAAATAAAGAGGAGGCTGAGGCGGGCATTGCAGGACCCGGCCTACTCAGGGCCTAGAAGGTCAAATACCACTCTCCTCCCAGAATACGGGTCTCCGCATCACGGGGTCCCCGTCCCCCACGTGCATTCAGGCCCCGCCACTGCACACAGTCTAAGCCCCCTGGACTAGGTATCCCCGCCCCCACTGGACTCAGGCCTTCGGACTTGAGGTCCACAAACCCCCTCTCTCTCGGTACCTCACCCAGATCCCCCCCGGACCGCCCCCCCCCACCCTATCCCCTCACTCTGCTTCCTACCCTCTCTCATTGGGGCTAAGCCTCCCCTACCCCTGATTCGAGACCCCAGACTTAACAGATCCTGCTGCCCCAGACAGGCTCATTTCCCCCAACTCAGGGTTCATGTCCCCCTCCCCCATCACGCCTCCCGGATCTGTTCACCCCTCCGATCTCACCTCTCCTTCTAACTCTCTAGTCTCAGGGGGCTCGTGTCCTCCGGCTGTGGGTCCCAGGCCCACACCAGGCTCATGCCCCTGCCTTCCTCAGGGTCACAGCTCCTCCATCTCCGTCTCCCCCTTCCCGCCCCCATCACCTTTCTTCCTTCCTCCCGGATATCAGTGGGGCTCACATCTCCTGACCCAGCTCTCCCCTCCCCCACCACCCTCAAGCCCCAGACTCAGGGCCCCAGGTCTCCCTTCCTCTCCTCCCTCCCACCCTGGGGACTCGCGGCCCCAGGCTTGCCAGCCCGCCCGGGCGGGGCCTCCTCTGCGCCCGTCTCTCACCCAGGCTCAGGGCCTCCAGTCGCAGTCTGTCGGCTTGCAGGATGAACAATCTCGTTGCCCGCAGGGCCGCACCTGCACCAGGTTCTCGCGGTCCATGAACACCAGGCCCAGCGCTGCCCCCAGCACCTCGCGGCTGCGCTCCTGCTTGCCCACGTCACACAAACAGCGCCACTTTCCCCACGGGCCAAAGATGGAGTTCTCCACCTCTAGGGATGGAGGGCCAGGTGGGGGGGGTCGACCCCTGTGTCCTCCTCTAGGGAGGGAGGAAGATAATAAAGACACTGACAAATAACAACAGTGCCTGTATGCTGAGCTCTGCTTCTGTTTCAGGCACCCCACCATGGATTATCTCATTTAACCTTCCCATCATTCCTGCGTGGGGAAACGGACACCTAGAAAGAGAAAACCACCCTTCTGAGCTCACACATCTGGCGAGCGACCCGAGGGACTGCAAACTGACACATCGCACGCACCTGTGCCAGCCTGCCCAGTGGGAGTGTGGTACCACACCCTTGGTCCACACCATCTGAAGCTGACTCCTGTTTGGGGCCGTGATCATGTGCCTGTCCAACCAGCGGGCAGAGTGCCAGCTGACCAGCAGGGCTGCCAGGTGGTAAATCAGATGACATAATTGGCATAATGAGGATACTTACAGCCCCTAGCGATGGGCTAGCACAGAGAACAGAAACAATTACTACGATCACATTTCAAGCAGCTACAACTTATCTGGAGCGCTTATCCAATGCCCTTTACAACGTTCTTTCGCTGACTCCCCCCAACACTCCTATGACACAGGTCTCAACCCAGCTCTGCGGCTCCCAAGCCTGACGCCTCGTGCCCTGGCCAAGCCTCGCCTAGACAACACTAGCCGCTCTCCAACCCTCTTTCAGGCCTTCTCGCCTTGGTACCTGCTGTTCCCACTCCTTGCCACACTTTTCCCGGTAAATCTTTGCATTTTTGGCTTTTGCTTGTCATTCGGGCTGCACTGGTCATCTGTCTTTTTCAGCCAAACCTTCTCTGACTTCAGAAATTTACCTACGCATGCGTTTATGGGTGTGTCTGCTCCCGTGTTTCTTGCCTTTGCCCATATCCCCTCTCCACGGGTAAGCTGTTTTCAGGCAGTCTCGACTTCAGTTTACCGGTGAGGAAACTGAGCCTCAGAGAAAAGAAACCAGCTCAAGGGGTGCCGCCAGGGCACAGCTGCGCGGAGAGTCCAAGTCCCCAGAGGAGGGTCTGTTTGCAGCCAGCTGGCAGAGTGGGGCAACGGGCACCTTTCTGCACCATCACACCCGCGGCCTGCGGTTACCTTTCTCCTGATGCTGCAACCGCAGCTGCTCCCAGGTGTCGCCTTCGCCCTGCTCGCCAAAGTAATGGTAGTCGGGGGAGACCTGGGCAGGGGTGGCCAGCAGCAGGAGCATCAGAAGCGGCAACAGCAGCGCTGCCGGGCTCCGGGCCATGCCGGCCTCCAACCGACGCCGGCGCGCTCGGGGAGCAGCCCGCGCGGGGTCGGGGCTGCCGCGCCCGCGCTCCCCGCGGATGGGGGGCGCGGGGCTGGGGCCGCGGCTGCGCGCTCCCCCGCCGCCCGCGGACGCGTGGGCCGGGCCGGCCCCGCTCCCCCTCCCCTGCGGCGGCAGTGGACCCAACCGCTCGGCTCGCCCGCCCACCCCCCGCCCTGCGCGTCACGGTTCGGGCGGCGCATAAAAGGCTCGGAGGCCTGGGGCGCACTTGGCGCTGAGAACGCGAGTCCAGGCGTGAGCGAGTCCGTGCGTCCCGCCCTTGCCCACGCAGGTATGCACGCCCGGGCTGCACGGGCCCGGGGGCCTCGGAGCGCTCCGGCCCTCTGCAGACCTCGGCGCTGGCCGCCTTTGTTTTCTGCCCGCCACAGTGGCCGCCTTTGTCCTTGCGGGGGAGACCGAGGCCGCAGCCTTGGAGTGCAGGCCGCATCGCCGGGGTCTCCGCCCCCTGCTCCCGGGGTCCCCTCCCCGGGGTCGAAGGGGGCTTGCGCCACCGCGCTTGGGCCCACACGCTCAGGGGGCCCTGCGGCCACTGCCGGACAGCTCGCGCTCCGGCCGGGGGGGGGGGGGGGGGGGGGGGCGGGTCTCCTGCAGCCTCGAGGCCGCGCAGAGCCGGTCCTGGGGAGGGTGCGGGGCAGTGCTGCTGCCTACGCCGCGCGGCCTCGGTCACCGGGCCCAGCGCGCTGCGTGACCTTGGGGAGGGAGGACAAAGGGTCTTCCCGGGCGCACTGACCGGGCGGGGGTCTCAGCTTTCAGCCATGGCCTGCGGCAACGCGCACATTGGAAAGCCCGCACCAGACTTCCATGCCACCGCGGTAGTGGAGGGCGCCTTCAGGGAGGTGAAGCTTTCCGACTACAGAGGTGAGGGCGGCCTGGAGGGGGCCCGGATTGGGGGAAGGCAGGCTTTGGAGGTCTAACTCCTCGTCTATGGTCCCCCCGCCCCCAGGGAAATATGTGGTCCTGTTTTTCTACCCGCTGGACTTCACCTTCGTGTGCCCCACGGAGATCATCGCTTTCAGCGAGCATGCTGAGGACTTCCGCAAGCTGGGCTGCGAGGTGCTGGGGGTCTCTGTCGACTCTCAGTTCACCCACCTGGCTTGGTATGAGCGGGGACCAGCTGGGGGGCGCGGGTTGAGCCTCCACCTCTGTGGGGTACAGGGCGAGCTGTGTGGTGCCTCTCCCATCTTGGAAATTATGATGACAGTAATTAGCATTTGGAAACTAGTTGCTATGTAGAGAGTTGCAGGTGCTTATCTCACTTTAGGCAACCCAGCCTCCCTCCCAAAAACTATTTCAAGAAGGTGGAAACTCCAGTTCAAGAGTGCGAAGGGCTGGGCCCCAGGACGCAGAGCCAGAGAAGGAGATGGGGACTCTGAGGCACGCTCTCTGCCCCAAGATGCTGGAGGCCACCAGCACACGTGAAGCCACTTGGCTGGAGCGTTAGCTTAGTCGTTGCAGCTGCAGGAAACAGCCACTTCAGGGTGGGGTGGGTGGGGCTCCCAGGGCCTCCCTCTAAAGCCCCTTTATCGCTCGCCTCCAGCACCCCCTCTCCAGCCCTTATCACCCCCAGGCCCACAAGGCGAGGACCCTGCTGTGCCGGGCATCTTGAGGTCCTAGCCCTGTCTCCCCCACCCCCAGGATCAACACCCCCCGGAAGGAGGGAGGCTTGGGCCCCCTGAACATCCCCCTGCTGGCCGATGTAACCAGAAGCTTGTCCCACGATTATGGCGTGCTGAAAGAAGATGAAGGCATCGCCTACAGGTACTGTGGGCCCTCAGGGGGAGGGGACTACTCTTGGAGGATGCCCTCCCTGCCCCCAACTCTGGCTGGCGGCAGGAGCTCCCAGCTCCTCACCGTGAACCCCAATCTCTTCAGGGGCCTCTTCATCATCGACGGCAAGGGTGTCCTTCGCCAGATCACTGTCAATGACCTGCCTGTGGGGCGCTCTGTGGACGAGGCTCTGCGGCTGGTCCAGGCCTTCCAGTACACGGACGAACACGGGGAAGGTGAGCAGACATGCAGTCACGTGTTCACACATGGGGACACACTCAGCCCCTCTGTCATATTGTTATCCAGACATTCACTGCCTGCTCTAGCACCTGTGTGGGATGGATGTGGGGGCCCCAAAGAAGAGTCAGCACAGGGTCTTGTCTGCAGGAAGTATCTAGTCTGGTGGGGTAGCTCCCTAATACAAGGAGTGGGGGGGAGGGGGGGTGGAAGGTAAGAGGTCTGTAGAAGGTATTTGAGAAGGTGTATACCAAGCAGGCTTGAATCATGTTAATTGGACCAGAGTCCCTTCTCATGTGTACACAGCCTGACCATGGGTCCTTGAAGTCCAGTGGATCTGGGGCTGAGGGAGAAGGATGGGATTAAAAGGGCAAGAAGAAATAAAAATGTCAGCCAGAAAAGCCTGCAGCCGGGCTCGGAGGGCTTCTTTTAGCATTCTGTGTGGTCTTGGGCCTTGACCCCTTGGCTCTGGGTTTTTTCTTCTGCAACCTAGGCTCTCCTTTGCCTGTTTGGCCCTCATTACTGCCCCGCCTTGACTATGGGGCTCCAGCCTCACAAGTGCATCCCTGTGTCTTCCCATAGTCTGTCCCGCTGGCTGGAAGCCAGGCAGTGACACGATCAAGCCCAACGTGGACGACAGCAAGGAATATTTCTCCAAACATAACTAGGCTGGCAGTCGGGTGGCAAGCTTGGGCTCTCGGCCCCTCCCTGTGCTGACCCGGGAAAGGCCAGACCTGCACCCTCAAACTCCATAGTTGTCCACCCTGGAGGGCTAGGCCGAGGCCTTCTCATGCTCCCAGCTGAGAGCTGCTGAATAGTGACTCCTCCCTGGAGCCCCCATAGCCGGGCACAGGCCTAGAGGTGACCAATAAAGTATTAGGGACAGATGTGCGTCTGTTGGTGTGGTCTGTCCTGGCGTCTCCGTGTCCTCCCCGTTCTCTGGGCACTGGCCTGGGAAACGGACGGTGTAGTTACTTATCTCCACCACAAGGTGGCAGCCTGACCGCATGCTCACTGTTTACTCTGCTTTCTCCTTGGCCCTGAGGGCGGCTTGGGGCTGCTGTTTGCCCCTTGCAGGGAGCAAGTCCCAGGATGCCCAACATCCTGAAACCTAGCCATACTGGGCAGCGCCTACCCCTTGCTATCAGCCAGCCTGGGTTCAAATGCCAATTAAGAGCCGCGATCTCCCCCGGGTTTCTGCAACAGTAAAATAGGAATAAAGACAACCGAGCCACACCACCATCCACATGAAAAGAGAAAGTATGCAAAGCTCAGCGCCCAGGTAATGGTTCTTAGGACTGGTCCCTGGGACTGGAAGGAGAGCGTGGGGACCCAGTCCTGAGAGCAGAACCAAGAGTGGGAGCTTGTGCTACATGCTGCCAGCTCTGCCCCACGCCAGGCTGGAAGAGCTCTAGAAGTGCAGTTGGATGCTGTGAGTGTTTAGGCAAGGTGGCTCTGCCACTCGGAGCCTCCATTACCTTCCACAGAACAAGACTGACAGGCTCATTTAACCCATAGACCCATTATTAATATTGTTATCCAGGCTAATACCCTGCGAGGTCACTCGTTTTGACCTTTGAATTTTATCTACATTCCTCCCCAAGGCCCGATGTGGTCTTCCTGACCTCATCTCCTCCCTCCTGGTTCACTCCCTGCCAGGCACACTGGCCTCTTGCTGTTCTTTAACTGGCTGATCTTGTTGTGGCCACAGGAATTTTGCATGTGCCGTTCCCTCTGCCCAGAACGCTGTTACCCAGGATTTTCTTAGGGCCCGGCTTCTTCAAATCTGCCGGAAAATCGCCTCATTAAAGGTCCAGCAGCCCCAATCTATCCTCCAAAGCAGCTCACCTCCTCTGCCCCATCACTGCCACTTTGACCTGTTTTTTCTCTTCCTAACACTTACCAGCACCTCCCCATCGTGTTTGTTTGTTTATCGTCTGTCTGCCATGGTCCAGGCCAGGTCTCCAGGGCCGGGCTGTTGAGGATGTATTTTATAAACGAATTAATGAAGTGTCTGTGCCGCCCACCCCGCCCCTGTGGCCTGGTTACTCTGCCGGTATTTTCCTCCGCTGCTCTAGGGGCTTCCAGCTCTGAAGACCGCCAGACCCCTCGGGGCGCACCAGCCACCTCCCACCCGGGCCAGCGGCGGGGGAGGGAGCCCCGCGCGAGGGCGGCGGCGGCGCCCGGCGGCCCAGCAGCCGCCCCGGCAGGACCAGACCTGGCAGTCGCCCCGCTCCCGGCCTGGCACCCGGGAGGGGAAACTGGCAGGCGGGCGCCGCCCTTCCTGGCGGGGGTGGGGGGACCGCGGCGGCAACGACGCGCAGGCAGCAGCAACCCCCCGCCCGGCTCGTGGCAGACGGGGCGGGCGTGGGCGCGGCGGGGCCCGGGCGCCAGGCCGATGGGGAGGCTCCGGGGTGGCTCCCGGGGAGCAGGAGCGCGGCCCGCCCACCGCGGACGCTCTGGACCCAGGCCTGGGGCTTTCCGGGCCCCGGCAGCCGCCTGCCTGGGAAAATCCCGGCCCCCTTCCCGGCGCCGCGGCCCTGCCGGGCAGAGCGGGGGAGGGGATTCCCGGAATCTGCCCGGAGACCGCCGGCGCGTCACTGGGCAGCGGCCGCCCAAATATGGGCAGCGCTTCCGCTGCGTCAGCGGGGAAAGCCCCGGCGCGCGCGGCGGGGCGGGGCCGCGCCTGCGCACTGCGCACCTCGCCCCAGGCCCTCTGCCCCCTGGCGCTGGGCGGCTAGTCACCGCCCTGGACATTCCAAGCCCGGGGATCAGGGGACGCGAGGAGGGTTGGACGTCAGGGCTGGAGCTGCAAGATGCCTGGACAGAGCTGGCGAGGGGGACCCGGATACAGGAGCGAGCCACAAACAGCAGTGGGGTGGGGGCAGCCCAGGACTCTCCTCCCTCCGCCCGCCCGGCTTGGAAAAAAAGACAACAGAAATTAATAAAGAACCATTTTTTTTTTTTACTTAAATAGATTCAATAAAAAGTCAGAACAACAAACTCACACACACACACAAACACATCTTAAAATACACTCCTTAAACATCAGGTGAGTGTTTCTTTTCCACAGTACGGTGCAGAGGGGGGAGGGCAGGAGGCGAGGGGTCCCCTCCCCAGTGTCCCCGCGGGCTCGAGTACCGGGCGGCGGGGCCAGCTCCGCCGCGATCGCCCCCTCCTCCCCTCCCTGTTAAATACACAAATATATTATATTCAATATGAATTGAGTCTTTCCAGCAGAAAAAAACATACAAAAAAACTTGGAAGGGGGGCTTGTAAACGTCGGTGTGGAAGGACTGAGCGCAGAGCGGGCGGGCAGGGGTCCAGTGTGGTTTGCGGCGTCCCCAGGCCCCGGGGCCAGTGCCCACCGCCTGCCCCCTCGCCCCGTGGGAGGCGTGCGCCCAGCCGTCCAGGTTCCGGGAATGTCCGTATGCGGGACGCGGGGGGCGCTCAGAAGGCGTGTCCCTTGACCCCAAGAAGCAGCTGGCAGCCGTTGCTGACATGGGTCATGACCTTCTGTTTGAGCTGGGCCACCTGCTCCCGGAGGAGGCCGGCAGTGCTCGACAGCCCCGCGTTCTCGGCCTTGAGTGTCTTCACCTTGTCCTCCAGGCGCGCGATGCGCTCCAGCTTCCGCTTCCGGCACTTGGTGGCCGCCAGCCGGTTCCGCAGCCGCTTGCGCTCCACTTTGATGCGCTCCTGGTCTTCCATGTTGATGGGGGACACGGGCGGCGTGGCGTCGCGGCTGCGCGCCTCAGGCACGGTCTGCGGTTCCTCCTTGAAGGTGGAAGCGCCGCGGCCCAGGCCCAGCTGCGCTGGGTGGCCGCCGGCGAAGGGCGGCGCGTGTGGGAGGTAGCTGATGGTGGCCGTCGGGTACGAGCTCCCGGTCCCGACGGCGGCCGCGGCGCCTCCGGAGGGCGCAGAAGCTGGGGAATAGCTGCTGAGGTTGGTGTAGACCGGAGGCGGCTCAGAACCGGGGTATACACCCCCGGGCCCGGCCGGGGGCCCCCCGCTGGCGCCCAGGGACACGTTGGGGGGCGTCACGTGGTTCATCTTGTGCAGGTCGTCCAGGGCTTTGACAAAGCCGTCGGCGAAGCCCTCCTGCTCCTCAGTGACGCCGCCTCCCGCGCCCCCCGCACCTCCACCGCTGCCACCCCCGCGGGGGTAAAAGTACTGTCCCGGGGGCGTGGGCGTCGTCGTGATCACGCCGTTGCTGTTGGGGACGATCAGGCGCTCCAGCTCCGATGAGGCGAGCTTGAGCGACGCGCCTGTGTCCGAGCCCTGGCTGGAAAAGTAGCTGCTGCCACCGCTGCCCTCCGGGCCGGGGCCCCGCGCCCCGGGTGCTTTCAGACCTCGGTAGGGGTCGGCCAGGTTGAGCGCCAGGCTGGGCTTCAGGAGTTTGTAGTCGTGTAGAGAGAGGCCGCCCGGGGCCCGGCCGTATCCCGCCGCTGCGTATGAGTCGTCGTGGTAGAAGGGCTGTTCCATTTTAGTGCACATCCGGGCGGCCCTGGCGGTCTGGGGGGTCCCTGCGGGGCCGCCCCGGGCCTCGCTACAGCGAGTGGCGCGCTGTCCGCGGCGGCGGCTGGACTGGGTGTCTGGACGCACGTTCCTGGGGGCTGGAACAGGCCGGGAGAGGCCAGCCGGCGGCTGTGCGCGGAAGCTCTGTGCGGCTTCTCGAGCCTCTCTGCCCCTCTCGGGCGCGCTTGCTTTCTTGGTGTCGCTTCCCCCTGCTCCCCGCTCCCTGCTGGCTCCGATGCTGGCCCGGCCGCGCTCAAGGTCCCAGCCGCTCAGTCGGAGTCACACGCCTTTATACGGCGATAGTCAGCTACGGAAGTGCGCCCCGATTGGCCGTCGCCGGAGCCAGGCCCCCGCGCCCCCCTCCTTGAGCGTGGGGAAGGGGAGGAGGCGGCTCGCGTCACTGTCAGGAAGCGCGTGTCCTTGTAAACAGCGGCCACGGGCTGGGTGGCTCGGCGCGGCTGCAAGGGGAGGGGCTCAGGGGACCCCAGGGTGCGCGAGGAAGGGGATGCTGGGTCGGTCCGAGGCACATGGGGAGGGGCTCCACGGAGGGCATGATTCCCCTGGAGTACACGATAAAGGATAGAGGAACTGATACAGAGCAAGTGGCGCTGGTTGGGGGGGCGAGGGGAGTGGTGGTCCCAGCATGTCCACGGAAAGGCCTGAGGGAACCAGAGTATCCGAAAGGGGTTGGAGGACTGAGAATACAAGGGACCCCAGAGAGGCGGGAGGGTTAAGCAGGGTAGATGGGGGAGGGGTAAAAAGATGCCTGACTCAGGAATTACTGGGGGTCCTGAGTACAGAGGGGTTGAGGGACTGGAGTTTTCACAGGAGCGACTGAACCCAGGAAAAATGAAGAGGAGGAGAGACCGAAAGGGTACACGGGGAGGAGCTGGAGGACCCATCATGCAAAAAATGAGTAGAGGTCCTGGAGTCCATGGGAGAGATTGAGGGTGCCCCATAAGTGAGAAGGGGAAGGAACTGGGGGAATCCACATATGCAGAAAGTGAATGAGGGTTCTGGGGTACACTGAGTTACGGAAATATGTGAGGTAGGAGATGGGGACACTGTCAGAGGTTGGGGGTCACTGGGGTTATCTGAGAAGCCCTGATGAAGGAGAATTAGAAGGGTCGGAGGACGCTTTCAGAGCTGAGATAACGACAGAGGGTCCCCGGTTGAGACATGAGAGAAGGAGGGGTCTTTGAGGGTCCTGGGGACCAGAACGGTTGGATCTTTCATGACTGGCGCCCCCTCGCGTGGGTGACCCCCTAGGCGCCTGAATACTCTGTCCCCATCCCAAAGACCTCCTCCAGTGACCCTGGGCTTGACCGCCAGCGTCTCGGCTCCTGGTGCCTGGACCAAGCCTGACCGCCGG